GATAAGTGAAGTTGCTAACGTGTTCGACTACTTCACTCCCTATCCTTAGTTCAGGTGTTGACGCAGACCAGTCCTGAAGCAACAACTTGCATTTAGAGGGAGAGAAGCGCATTCCAAACATCCTGGCATTGTTGCTCAGTGCTACCAGAAGACTGCATTTTGTCAGCGTCTTCATCAAACAGGACTATGTCATCTGCGTATTCTAAGTCGATAAGTGGACCTCCTGGTAGGAGATCAATACCCGAGAACTCAGTCGACGAGAAAGTTATTTCCATCAGTAGATCTATGATGAAGTTAAACAAAAATGGGGAAAGTGGACAGCCTTGACGGACACCACTTGAGGTTGCAAAAGTAGATGACAGTTCGCCATAAGCTCTGACTCGACTGGTAGTGTTCGAGTAAAGAGCCTTCACAAGGTTTATGTACTTCTGTGGTACGCCTTTCAATGACAGACACTGCCACAGAATCTCGCGGTCTACGGAGTGAAATGCTGCTTTTAAGTCGAGAAAGACCATCATTGTCGGACGCTGATAAGCATGTTTGTGTTCTAGAACCTGACGAATGGTGAATATGTGGTCGATGCAGCCACGACCAGGTCTGAAGCCAGCTTGATGCTCTCGTGTTTGCAGTTCACGAGTCCTAGGTAAGCGTCTGATAATTATCGAGACTAGTATTTTAGATACTATATTTGTTAAACTAATCCCTCTGTGGTTGTCACAGGATGATTTTGACCCTTTCTTATATATTGGGACGATAAGTGATTGTGACCAGTTAGATGGAATAACGTCTAACTCCCAGATTTTAGCTAAAATATTAGTCAACCTAATCGCTAAAATTGGACCACCATCCTTAAAGACCTCTGGAGCCAATCCATCTGGACCAACTGCCCTTCCTCGTTTCAGACTAACTATAGCCTTTTGAACTTCAGCAAGAGTTGGGGGACCTACTTCAATGTTCCATTCACACTGTCTGGGAATGGAGGGTAGTTGTAGAGTAGCTGAAGGCCAGCTGAACTGTTCCCTAAAATGTTCCGCCCATCGTTCTAAACGCCTGGACTGGGAGCAGATGAGTGTATCGTCTTTTTCCGATACAATCTCACTTACACTTGACTTATTAATTCCAGTTTCTTTTATTAGTCTGTAAAGCTGTCTTGTGTTCCCTATAGTCGCCGCCTTTTCCATCTCTTTTGCTTTCGTTGCCCACCACTGCTCACGGTCGTTTCTTAGACTTTTTCTTAACCTAGATCTGATTTGTTGTCGCTCTTCATCATGTTTGGAACCTGATGGGACGAGTTTGCGAGAATCCATCAGTGTGATAGACTTTGAAGAAATCCACTGGTTCTTTGAAACTCTGTGGTTTAAGTCGCTAATAAATGTCACTGCTGCTTCCACAGCTGCTTGTATATCTTTCCAAGCAACATCTGGGTCAGACTCGTCTTCAGAACTACTTAATCGTGACCTCAGTTGTTCCTGAAACCTACTTTTGGTTTCCTCGCTACTCAGTTCGGTTTTAATGGGTCTTTTTAATGTGGCTTTTTTGTGTCCAGTGAGGCGCAAGCAGTTGCGTGCCCGTATTAGGGCGTGGTCGGAGTCCAAACAGGTACTCCAGAATGAGCGACAATCTTCTACCGACTCTCTCCAACGATGACTGATGGCAATATGGTCTATTTGAGTCTATCGTTGGCTTGGTGCAGGCGGTCGCCACGTTAGACGATGTCTCTCCTTATGCTTAAAATTTGTGTTTGCTAAAAATAAGCGATTGTCTGAGCACAGTTGCAGCAGACGGTCACCATTATCTGTTCGCTGTGCCGGAATGCTAAAATATCCACCTAAATGCCTTTCTGTTTGGTTTAAGCTACCTATCTGAGCATTAAAGTCACCCCCTACGAGTACTATGTCTGAGCGTTTAGCTTTCTGAAGAAGTTCGGACAGCTTTCTGTAAAATTCATCTTTCACATCATCTGAGCTGCAGTCAGTGGGAGCGTAGGCAGAAACGACGAAAAGGCAACGACGTGTGTCCCTATCCTTCCAAGTTCTTACGGAACACCATCCTTAAAAATCTGAGGTGTGAGTCCGTCAGGCCCTGCTGTCCTCCATCGCTGTAGTTTCCCTATATCACTTTCAGCCTCACTGAGAATCGGAAAACTCACACCATCCAGAATGAGTGATAAACTTTTATCGAGCCACTTCAACAATGGCTGATAGAAATGTGGTCTACTTAGGTCCATCACTGAGTTGAATGTGGACGTCATCACGTCAGACAACGCTTTTCTTTACGTTTAAAGTTAGTTTTTCTCAGAAATAGATGGTTATCTGAGCATAGTTGCAACAGGTGGTCACCATTATCTATTCGCTGAGCCGCAACATCATAAGATCCGCCTAAGTGCCTTTCCGTTTGGTTTAGTTTACCTACTTGAGCATTAAAAATTACCTGCCACTAGTACTAAATCAGAGCGTCGGAAAGCTCATAAGTCAGTCAGTCAGTAACAACGTAGAACTTCGTACGTACGTACATCAGTTCGAGTTGCCACACCACATTAGCACAGAGATGCAGTTGTCGATTCAAATCCCGTAGTGGTAGAGGTAGTAAGAGTATAAGCAGTAATCGGGAAGATTAGGGTTTGGAGATGTTATTTAAAGAGTATAATCCAGTGAAATACATTTGGAAAGAGGGAAAAAGGGACATGAAGAATTCAGAAGATTAGAATTTGGGAAAACACAAAGAGTGGATGCACCTGCTTACACCATTACAAACCATTTTGAGCCATGTCATTCAGAGTCTCTAACCATCGGTTGCTATCATCTCGTGGACCCCAACCAGGTAGTCTACACCTACCAACATGACTCAGTCCACTTGTCAGTGACTTCATGGACTTGTGACATGTTTTGGTCTGGCCGCCTCTAGCTTTCTTCCAATCTACTCCTATACCACTGAACATAGCACGTCGAGGCAGTCGGTCGTTGGGCATACGTAACACGTGTCCCAGACATCTCAACTGATGAAGTTTCACTACTTCATCAATTGATTTGCCATCCTTACCTAGTACCCGTTTCCTAACAACTGTGTTACTTACTCGATGGTCCCATGATATACGAGCAATGTTTCGAAGACACCTATGATCAAATACTAGTAGCCTACGAATATCCTCTACTCTTACCGGCCATGTTTCACTGCCATAAAGTAGGACGGGAAAGCTCATAAATCTTATCGTTAACTTCACCCAAGCTATAATCAATGGGAAGGACGGCAGCGACAATGAGAAGGCAACGACGTGTCTCTATCTTTTTGAGTTTTTACTCCCCAGTTTAGTTAGACAGGCCCCAAAATGCCCTGGTACGACCGAGAGTGGGGAGAGTAGCTTCTCCCACTCGAAATGCTCTCGCATGGCCACATGCACACAACCACTATCAGGTTAGCCCTACTCTGCCTTCGAGCGACGAGGGTGTTGTTTACAAAATCGAGAGAACGAAAAGCGAATGCCCAGCGCTCTAACCGGGTTGGTGGATATAAAGGATCCACCTAGGGGAGTTGGGAAACCCCGACTCCAAACCAATGGTGTACATGTACTCCAGGATCCTGAAGGAGCAAATGGCGTATGAACTAATTACGAGTCACCGGCTACCATGGGACTGCATTTCCTGACGTTGCTCTACAGTCTTGCGGACTAGACCTTAAGGTCAAAGGCTTGAGGTCTGACTCCATAAGGAAAACAACCCGTTCAGTTTGGGCACAAAACCATTGACTTGTGACTCGTATTCGATGCCCCTTTGTACCAATATTTATATGTTCAAATAAATAAACAAATGTAATGTGCAACCTGATCAAACGAATGGAATTGTCCTAAAAGTGAATCGTCTAATCGGGTGTACATATATAATTTATGTTTAGTTGGAAGCCAAATTATGTTACAGGAACGTGATGAGCAGTGTGGGTAAATCTGGAAAACAGACTAAAAGTGGAGCCGATGACTCACGACACCCTGGGGATGTATTTCAAATGTGTTTTGGTGTAATCTATACGGCTAGAATTGGACACTAAGTTTTGAAATGAAACCAGACATTCATATCTCATTGTCATAACGGAGGCATCTAGCTGAGACTATCCTTCTTTCGCGACTTGTGTTGAAAATTTCTCAGGGTGTGAATTATTAAACATGAACTAACCTTACCTAGTTGGACGAAGTCAAAAAGTTGGTTTACCGGAGAATATAATGGAAACACCTAGAATATTTAGGGGAGTATATTATCATTAATTTAGACTGCAAGTACATTACTTAGCCTAAATTCAGGCTATTCGGCGTAAATTAAGGCACCGATAGACTTCATTAGACGCTACTTCTTAGTAGATATCAAGAAACTTTCTCCGGAAACCAGTCACGAGTGTTAGGAAATTCTCAGATTTCTTGGGAGAACCTACGACCGAGGGGGTTCAGTCGTACTAGATACCCAGTGGAGAAAAGTAGACAATATGGCGTCAGCTGAAGTATGACATTTGTGTTTGTCTAAGTAACAAGTAGTGTGTACGGCTGATGGGAAACATTAAGTGGGGTGATCGCAGTGTGTTGCACGTCCGTCTAGGAGCAAGTCTGATCTAGCCTCCAGTCTTTGAAAGATTTCTGTTTGGCCTAGAGGTACTCTATGCGTCCAGAGAGTGAGGGAAGAAGAGTATTCCAGTCTCGCTATCTTGGGGAACTTTGGAGTTTTACCCAATGTCATAAGAAATATAGTAGTCTTCCCCAAACTTTGAAAAAACCCAAAATGTTAGATGATTCCGAGAAAAGTTGTGGGCTTCTCTCAGACATTTCAGGGATTTTTCCCACATTCAGAGAGATTTCGAGGTTTTGTGCCATTATCCCAAAGTTTTCTGTAGAGATTTATCCTAAATTTACCCAGACCGGACAAAATTTCCTCCAAAATAGGGGGATCGGGATGAGGGAATCTGAAAGTGGAAGAAGCAATAACAAAGGGAAACGACTCAGTAACCCTACAAAACGAACTTACAATGATTATTGGGAGTAACTAATGCGAGAAAACATGACAACTCAAATTTGGCGCAATAGTTTGCAACCTTGTTGAGGATCATATCTACTCTCCAATACTTTCTTGATGATCAGGTATAGATCAATTGATTATTTTGCTCTCTTATTGTTGTTCCGACACAGCTCTGGGTCTTTGTTAATGCTCAAATGGCTCTTGTCTGACCACTGGACTGCACTAATTCTGACCACTTCAGTAGATCTTTGTGGGTTTTTATATCATGTAATTTGAGTTAGGTTTCTAGATACCATCGGCTATCACGTAACGCATAAGACTACAAAGCCTTTGGAAGTAGCAGCCTTACATTTACTCGTAGTTTTCAGTTCGCTGTTTATCATAACTCCTAGACTTTTATAATCTTTTACTTTAGGTAACACAACTCCAAATATTGTGTAGTAATATGGATCGTTGACATGCATCGCTACACTCTTGTTAGATTTTATTCCTAAAGACTATATATTCACCCATCCAGCTATTGAATTTAAGTCATCCTGTAATATTATTCTATCTGATATACTGTGTAGAGGCCTAAAAATTTCTGTCATCTGCAAACAGTAGAACAAATGACTTTCCTACAGTTTATAAATCATTTACACAAAATAAAAAACGAAGACGGTTGATAGTTCTACTTTGAGGAACGCCGAATTCCATAGGTTGACAAGTTGGTCGAACCCTATTTATCCGTACCATTTGTCTATCACCAAGGAAATCACTTATATGGTATATGATTTCATAATGGATCCCGAAAATCTCCAGTTTTTAATTAAGACATTACTCAGCTCAGTCAAAATAGCACCTACCGGAATACCTATGTCCTACACCGTGGCCAAATGTTTTTATGTAACAAGCAAATTCGTCAAACATGAATGACCTTTATTAAAACCATGTTATTTCCCAGCCAAAAGATTATTCTCGGCTACATGTTTCGGGATAACTATACAAATAATCTTTTCTGTTAGTGTAACAACTAAACTGGTTAGACTTGCAGGTCCATGATCGCCAATTAAATCGTTGTGACCACTGGACTTGCCTGGTTTTAGATGCTTAAGTGTTAGTAAAATAGGTCTCTTCCTCATAACCACGGGATCCATCGAAAAGCTGAAATTATTATAATTAACTGTTGGTCTTTCGCCGCCTTTGGTAGAAAACACAGCCAGAATATTCTGATGAAGCTTTGGCTTTTGCCACATTCTTGCGATTAGTAACTTATGTTCTTGTAGTAAAAGTGATGGGATCCTATTACTTCTCTGAATTTGCCTCTTCATGAACAAGAACAACCATTAAGGACAATTTTCATAATCTCTTACTATTCGTTTTTGATAAAGGAGTCATTCTTTACAATATATGTGTGAGACCTATCGTTGAATACTGTCCGCACTTGTTTTCCAACTTACACCAGTCTGATATGATGAAGATGAAAGTAACACAACGCGATTTTACTCATCACGTACTTAAAATTAGTTCAGTCATTGACTATCACTCTCAGTTCCATTTACTAAGAATTGAATCCGTCTAAATAGGCTTAGGTTCACTTAACATACTTTCATCTCACTACACTTGTAATATAGCTCCTACCCAAGGCCTACACATATACGACTTTGAGATAAAGTATCTGCAGTGGAAGCTGAAAAATACGAAACAACAACTGTAGGAAACTTCCTGCTCGTCAAGTATTCATTAATGTGGAACAGTGTCCCCTCCAAAATACTCATGGCATTTCAATTACATACATTGATGGATCCCTCGTTTGCACTGAACTCCTAGCACGCACGAACACATTGGCGTCCTACTCAGATATCATTGGGCCTCTACATGTCTAAATCACTCCATACCCTGAAATTCGTTTTATTTTTCTTTGAAGTAGTGTCAGTTAAAACTCTGCAGTCATATGTCTTTCTTTGTCTTCACTTGAATTAGAGAAGCAACTTACTGGACATATCTATGCTCCCCAACCGTAACCGACCATAACAGACGTTCACTGCTATCCCAAACGATGGTCAGGTAAACTTCAGAATTTCTTACCTACTACCAATAGTCTTACATTCATAAGGCCTGAACACCATCAGTGGGATAGAATAGCAAAACACACCACATACGCTGAGTTGATGTGAGTCCTCTTTGTCTATTTTTAAACAGTTAACTACTTTTATGCTCGTTTTGCTGACTTACGGATTTCAATTGCTCTGGAATAAGCTGGAATACCGGTAGGTGTCAGTCATATAATGATGAATTCTTGGCAACCATTAACATGCTCTGTTGGTTGAAGATGCCACATGTATTCGGAGTTTGACAATGCTTTAACCAGTAACATCTAATATGAAGCGTACCCACCAAGTAAAACCACATGACAGAAGTGAGGAGGTTCGAAGATATATTTGATAGGCTACCAATATATCGCGGATCGTCTGATCTAATCTGGTTAGCGATTGCAGGGGTTGTTGAGCATGACGTTCCCACTTGTGATCTGGTGCGGATGCATGACCGAGTGCCTCCAGCTAGGTGAGTCGATTAAAACTAATGTGGTCAGCATCCGATGTCGAAAACTTACACAGCTATTTACCTTGCGGATCCCCCCTAGTGGGGTAGTGATGACCCTAAGACGTGGGCAGCCAGAAATGTAAACCCAACGAGTATGTCGTTGGTAAACACTCTTCTGATAGCTTGTTAAGTTTAGCAGCGTCTGGTCGTCTTTCCTTACTATAAAAGACCATGTAGTACAATATAGTAAAAATTGTACAATGCAAATTTCGGTTACTCGTAGACTTCATCGTTCTCCAGTCGTCCTGGAAAAGAAAGAAATGTAAGTGCATGTCGAAATACACTCGCACGCTCGTAAAAACACAAAGCATAATAAAATTGTTATTTTATATTGCATATAGTACAAAGAGAAATCGAGATGATATAAAATGTCAACTTGTATCCTACGTGTAATAATCGTTCAAGTGTTCTGGAAATCTTACTCTTTTTCCACAACGCGTTCTTTTAGGTTTATTTTCTGATACTTGCAAAGTATCTTCGTGTGTGTTGGTTGTCGGCTGAAGCATTATAAGTGTAGAAGTCGCGTCGTGCGACTGTACCGAAGGCGAATCTAAGTGAATACGACTTCTTTCCAAATACTCCACTTTAAGGCGATCGGTGCTGATGCTATCGTTGGTTCCGTTCTCATCGACTATGTAGTACCTGGGTTCGCGTTGAAAAACTTTGAAGGGCCCTTCGTATGCTGATTCGAGAGGTCGTCGATGTGAGTCTCGACGAATGAAGATGTGTGTACTATATCGTAAGTCAGGTTGAACGCAAACTTCAGTTAATCGCGGTCGAGTAGATACAGATTAAACTGAAGGCATTGCATTTGTAAGCCTGCTCGTGGAGGAGTTTAGATCCACGAACTCTCCTGGAAGCCGAAGTGTCGTCCCATAAACAAGTTGGGCTGAAATGTATCCAATGTCAGCTTTCACTGCTTAAGGAATACCTAGTAAGACGAGTGGAGGAGCGTCGGTTCACTGTGAAACGTTTGCAGCTGATAGTGAAGCTTCTAGTTGTCGGTGAAAGCGTTCTTCTAACTCGTTTGCTTGTCGGTGGTGGGCGGCCGTTCAGAAGCGAGTGATTCCTAATAGTGTGGTCAGACAACGGAAAAGTTCAGATTCAAACTGGCGTCCGCAATCTGTAGTGATGGTTGAAGGGAAGCCGAAGTTTGCTACTCATCGTTCGACGAAGGCGTGGGGCACTGTTTCAGTAGTGATGTCATTGATAGGTACTGCTTCTGGCCATCGAGGTAAGAGTATCCATTTGAATCTGGCAAAGGTCCTACCAAATCCAGACGAACACGGCCGAAACGAGCACCATGAGGTTTGAAAGAGTCTAAGGGACGTTTGTTGTGTATAATCACCCTAGATTTCTGGCAGCTTACACAGAAGCGTGCCCACTTCCTCACGTCTTTATTCATACAAGGCCAACAAAACCGTTCTGCTATAAGCTTGACAGTTGCACGAACACGTGGGTGCGAAAATTTATGTAAGGTTTTGAAGACGTTGCGTCGGTAATGTTTCGGCACGAGTGGGTGATCCGTACCTATAGATGTTTCACAAAGTAAGGTTTCCTTACCTGTTACTATCTGTTTGATGCAAAGCTTGAGTGTTGTAGATGATAACTCGTACTGAAGATCAAAGTCTTCTTTTTGGAGCTGGGCTAGTTGTAGAAGGTCGATTCCATAGAAACTGTTTGAGGAAGTTGCGTCTGCGACTACATTGTTTGCTCCAGAAATGTGTTGAATACCTGAAGTAAACTGCGAAATGTAGTACAGTTGTTGAGACTCACGTGTTGAGTACTTGTCCGAAGAGGAGCTTAAAGAAAAAGTAAGAGGTTTATGGTCAACAAAACAGGTGGAAACCCGGCCTTCGATATAGTGTTGAGATGCCGTACAGCACAATCAGTAGCTAGAGGTTCCTAACAAAATTGCTATCCTCGATTCAGTATCTAGCAACCGTCTCAAGAAAATTACTTAAGGTTGTCAAGTGTGGTTAGCCTATTAATATAGGACTCCTCCGACTGCTATGTCGGATGGGTCTACTGCCATACTAATGGGCGCTTGAGTGTCCTGGTGTGCGAGCATTGTTGCTTGAGCGACAAGTTCCTTAGTTGTGGGGAATACCCTTCTCGCGGTATCGTCCAAATTGATGGATTTCGCATTTCCACGAAGTTGGTCGGTAAGAGGTTTCATAAGTAACGCGCATTTTGGTATGAATCGTCCATGGAAACTTACAAGGCTGTTGAACGTGCGTAGTTGCTTGATGGTAGTCGTTTCTGGGTAATCCGGAATGGCCACCAGTTTGCTTTCCAGAGTTCGGATGCCTTGTGCATCTATGGTGTGTCCTAGGAAGTCTAATGAGTCAGTTCCGATTTGGTATTTCTGAATGTTTAAAGTAACTCCATGTTTTTGTAGTCGATCGAAAGCAAGATCCAGATGCTGGAGATGCGATTCTCTGTCCAGACTTGCTATTAGGCAGTCATCAACATACGCATGTACGAAGTTGGTACCTCCAAA